TACCCAGAAAGGTTAATAATGTTCACAGTGCCGTATAGTTACTAAGTGGCATGTTAAGAACTTTTCTCTTATTCCTACTTTTAAATTATCCTGAAGTAGTTGTACTAAGGGGTTGCAGTTCAGCATGTCAGTAATAAGTACTGTGCTCCTTGATCAATGTCACCCCTTGAACTCTTGCATGTTCTCTCTTATTATAACCCGTCATATCTCATTGAAAGAAATTTAAATGAGAAAATCTAACTAAGAACAACTGGATTTAGATATTCAAGAATGTAGAGGGATCCAGGTTTTGGTGGCTCATGCCTGTAATCCTAGCTACTCAGGAGGCTGAGATCTGAGGATCATGGTTCAAAGCCAGCCCAGGCAGGAAAGTCTGTGAGACTCTTACTTCCAATTAACCACCAGAAAACCAGAAGTGATGCTGTGGCTCAAGCAGTAGAGTGCTCAGCTCACCTTGAGCTGAAGAGCACTGGGACAGTACCCAAGCCCAGAGTTCAACCCCCCATGACTGACAAAAAAAAATGTAGAGGGGAGAAAAACCTAGCTTGCCTTTCATATACAATGAGGAAAGATAATTAGCTAGAGGAAATGTTTCTTGAAACTCTTAAACACTTCATGCATTGGTTTTCAGTGGGTTGGTTCTTGATACAAAAGAAACCTCAGTAAATGTAAACCAACTTGTAACTCCAATTTCTGCAAAGCAAGACACCTCAGGACTATCACAATACACTTCTGTGTAGTGTCACATTCTGAACCAATTTCTTTCAGGCTCTTTTAAGTTCTAATCTGCATGCAATGTACCAGTAGAGCCCTACATATACAAAAGGTGGAATGATGTACCCAACGCTTGCCAAGCATGGAAGAATAAATCATCTCAACTCTTTGGGAGCTTAGAACATGACATAGAGAGGCCTAGTACACACAATCAGTGGAGTGAAGAACAAGATGTCATGAGATGGTAGCCTTACATGCTAAAGATTTGTGGTGTCAAATACTTACTGGGATGGGATAGAAACAAAATGACTCGACAGAGATTCGGAGTTGTATGTCCAACAGGCTGTGACTTTGTTGAAGTTTCCCTCCCATAATATGTATTTCCTCTTATCTAAAAGAAATATTTCAAGTGCAGGGCAGAGAGCCTTGATCACAGCAGGTGTCAGTGAACATGAGTTCCTCTTTAAATAATGCATTGGAATATTTAAAAGTTTTACTTAAATATTTGCCTGAGGTTTGGAATCCTGAAAGAGTATTAGGATATTGATTGAAAAGTGTTTCTGAGGGTAAAACATAGATGGGGGAATGGGGATGGATGTTAGAATTGGTTTCATAGGTTTTAACTTGTTAAATATGTGGTTTTCAGTACTTTTAAAATGTAAAGAACACTTGTATTTCAAAGTCCACGTAGCTGACTTCCTATTTATTACTAGAACATTTCTAACTATAAACACTCTGTGATCGAGAGACAAGCAACTTCTTAAATCTTGTTTTTGTTTTGGTAAAGTGTTCTAGTTTTCAAAAAGTAGCAGGGTGTTAAGTACCTATACGCACAGATTTGTAATTAAGATGATCATCAAAATGGGGAAGTCAAAAATAGAATGGATTCCAGACTAAGAAAATACAATAGAAGCCATCCACAGTGGGGAATTTAAACACAATGGAATATGATTCAGCACAAGCATTCCAAAAGTACAACAGAAAATATTTTAAGTATCCGATGAGCCATTATAGTACAGAAAATACAACTTACCCTTGCAGTGAATGTACTGTTGTAATACTTCAGTAAGAATTGTCTATCAAGAGCTTAACAAAGGGCTGATTGTATATACGTTAACATTCCATTGCATGACTTTAATGATGGTTTTCAGTGTACAGCATGGTCTAGATGAGGAGAGAAAAGCAATTGTACAGAGATCAATAGAAATGGTCTCAAAATCTGAATACTAATCCCTAGCAAAGGTAGTTCTAGGATATATGTTCTTATAATACAAATCATAACATTACAAATGGGCCATTTTGTACCTGTTGCCATTTTGTAACTGAATTATCAAATGATGATGCTCACTGATGATTCATTTTCAGAATGTTTATAAACACTTATTGTCAGACACTATTAGGAAAAGGGAAATCCAGGAAAAGGAAGATATGACAGGATGTCCCAGGAGAGAGCCTGGACAGCTGCACAGAGAAATGCAAGTTTGGAAGATAAATCCACATCTGTTGCAAATTAGGCCAATGAGACAGGCATGGTTCTAAATTTGATGCTTAGGGGTAGATTTAGGGTTGGAGGTTGAAATTTCATCATGGATACTGAAATCATTGAAGGCACCAAAGTTGTGAAGGACAGTCCTTTATCTCCAGAGAGAGATGTGCTGGTATACAGGGGTGATACGTGGTTATCAAGTAGCAGAACTGCGCAGAGATGAGAGGAAGGTTAGCAGCTCCTGCTGCATCCATGACTATGTCATTTCCTTCCCTGAGAAATGCTAAGGAGCTATATGGTTTATATGCAGTGTTAACCAGTACTTCCAATACCATTAACATGAACATCTACACAGACAGGTGTTTATGAAGCAGAAAGCTGGACACACATAATACCCAGTGATATAGAAACTTAAATATCATATTCTAAATATAGAACACAGGAAGGCTATTAAGATAAATGATATTTATATAGTTGATAGAAGCTAAGAGATGATCCAATTTATAAAGGAGTAAAACCACTTAGATATAGTATCATGTGTTTCATATATATGTATATATATATAGTACATGTTTGTGTTCACATACTATGTACACATAGCCACACATCTGTGAATTGATGCAACCCCTAATGTCCCTCTAGGCTAACCTGTAGGGAAGGGTAGCAGTGAGAAGAAGGCAGAAGAGATCAGGACAACAATCTTTATTAATTTCTTTTTACATATCAAAAATTTTTATGACATCCATGAACTTTGTTTTGTACTTCAAACAATGAGATAATGCCCCCTAAGTACTGGGCATAATGCCTGTTATATAACCAGCAGTGGCTGTTAATGGATTCTTCTGGGTAGAATAGGACTTGTTCAAAAAGACAATAGCTTAATGGCTATTATAATAAATGTTCTCTCTCACTAGTAAAATGGAATGCAATAAAGTTAAGGTCAGTAGATTTTTGTTTAAATATGTGTTCTTCTTATTTAAGATTTAATTATTCAAAGCTACATTTTAATAGGAGGTCCTTTAAATAATACACTTAAGTACTTGAAATTGCCAGCCAGCTATTATGTCCTTATAGTAAAGACATTAACTTTTAAATATAACATTTAGAGCTTATTATATTTTTGTTGTTTATGGCTTAACATGAGTACCAAATCCTTTAGGGTTTAACGTGAGTACCAAACCCTAAAATAATAAACACTATAAATTGAAATAAAATCAAGTTTGAGGAACTTTCATGATAACAAATTTGATACTTTCTAAGTTGATTATCAATTTACTTATCCTTGTTTTCATGAAAAGTTGTTAATAAGCTGAATTGAAAAATGAAGCGGTTGTGAAATATAGAGAGAACTGCAATTAAAATACTTCATGATGTGTTTCCTTATGATTAAGAATCCTTTATGAGTTCAGTAAATATTTTTTCATAGTTATTTGTGGGTCATTTAAGTCTCTCACCTGCTGGATTTTCCTAAAGGAAAAAGAACTGAAGTGGTTCACGCCTATAATCCTACATACTCAGGAAGCTGATATCTGAGGATCATGGTTCAAAGCCAGCTTCGGCAGGAAAGACCATGAGACTCTTACCTCCAATAAACCACCAGAAAACTAGAAGTGGCACTGTGGCTCAAGTGGTAGAGCACTAGCCTGGAGCTGAAGAGCTGAAGGACAGTGCTCAGGCCCAGAGTTCAAACCCTACTACTGCCAAAAAAAAAATTAATTTTCCATGACAATTGTGTTAATAGTACCTTTAAACCAATTATTACATTATTATTAGAGTGACATGAAAAAAGTATTTCGCTAATGGCTAACAATAAAATATCTATATTTTACCTATATTTCCTTGATTTTTTAAAGGATAATTACTAAAGTTGAAACTTTTCCAAAATATATTTCCTATGAGTAATTTTGGCTTATTTTTTAGTTTCAGCCTTCTAAAATTTAATTTAAAATTATTTTTCATCTTATAATTGATGGTATGTAGACAAAGTTGTGTTGTAAATTGAGGTATTATCCCCAGTGATCAACTTCTAGCAGCCCCCAGGCCAGGAGAGGGATGACCTAGTTTAATTGTGTTTCTTACCGAATTTGTCACCAAACATCAGATTCTCTGGTTTACCTGGCTGAGAATAACTAGAGACCCTTTTCGACATACATGGAATTAGGAATTCTATGGACTTTTCCTCCTTTAATATAATTTTGAGATTATTATAGCCTCGCATGCAGTTGTAAATGGATAATTCAAGGAATTTATGTGTCCTTTATTCAACTTCCCCTATTTTTTCAAAATTACAGAACAGTATCATAATCAAGATATTGACCCTGCCACACATCTGTCAATCTTAACTCGGATTTTCTTTTTACTTGTATTTGTGTGTGTGTGTGTGTGTGTGTGTGATCATGTGTGAGATTGTATCTGTCTGTCTGTCTGTGTCTGTGTCACATGCAGATATCTATATCAATGACTGCAGGCAAAAGAGAGCTAACTCCCACCAGCAGGAAGATACTGTATATACTGTTTATAACACAACCTCTTCCTTCCCTTTCCATGTTGCCCCCTCTGTAGTCTTCCACCATGGACTGATGGACCTGTGTGTTCTCAGTAATTTATGAGGAGGAACTGACTTGTCCTTTTTCTCTGCTGAAAGTCTGTGAATTGAAGATAATAAGTATGTACTCAGCTAAAATTGAGCTTCCTCCCTGGTGTCTGGTGAAGACGCCAACCAGAGGGAAACTAACTGGCTTGACCTCCTAATTCTCTGGAGGCATACGACTAAACTCGCCATCTTTGTTTTTATTTCCAGATTACGCTCGATTTGAGGCTAAAATCCATGACCTACGAGAGCAGATGATGAACCACAGCATGAGTTCCGGTTCCGGGTCCCTGCGAACCAATCAGAAGCGTTCACTCTATGTCAGGTAGACAAGGGAAATCTGGTTTGGGCAAAGAAAGGCTGTAACTTATGGAACATGATGTCTTAATTGGTTTCTGCTCATCAGTATGCTACTGAAAGACATTCTGCTGAACCGTTTTGAAGAATTAAAAAATTTTATTAGGTTTAAATTACTTTAAATTTGCCTGCTTTTGTTAAGTTTTGTTTTATTGTTTGTTTGCAACAGTTTCACTATGTAGCCCAGTAAGATGGCCTTGAATTTTTTATTCTCCTGCCTCAGCCTGGGTTTGGGGAATACAAGCACGCATCATTCTTTAACAGAATGTAAGATAATGTTCTTAGCATAGTTTTCAGTAAAGCTAATGAGAAGAAATCATCTCCATTTCTAATCAATCTTGGAACACATGGACCAAAACCCTGGACAGTTCCTAATTTGCTTGATGTTGACTATGTTAATTTTGGCCTAGTGATGTAAAATCAGCATTATTCTTCTCAAGAATTATGGTGGGTTTTTATTTTCTTCTGAGTTTGAGTGGAAAGACTTTCTTCTATGGGATCTCATTGTCAATCATTTCTCAGATCATAAAAGTTCATTACTCCCTTGCCTATAAATTAATGTTTCTCCTTCATTTGCTAGAAAACAAAATGACTGACTTGAAAAATGTTTAAAAAGAAAATCCCTGTTCCTGTTCTTTGGTCCCTGTAGTTACCTCTTGAGTGAGATCTATCACATTGAACTGTAACATGCAGATTTTCCTAGCACCCGCGTCCTACATTGCTTCCAACTGTTATCAGTGGAGATAGAAAACTGGTGCTAACAGGGAGAAAGTGGTTGCCCATCTAGTGGTTAAATATATGTACATGCTGTTTGGAGGAATCCTTTGGATTCTCCACTTCCTGTTGTGGCTCCAAATTCCATCTACATCTCACTGAGAGCTCATCCTTCTCTCCTAAAATCTCACTTCCTTTTTCTTCTAGGAAGTCATGTTATAGGTACCCAGTGATGTACTTGAGTTAAGCTTGTCCTTAGCTCCACTGAGCTATAAGATTATTGTTCCTGTGTATAGGAAGGAATGCTAGGGCCAAGAAGGGGGCAGGGTTCCAGAAGGCAGCACTCCAGGGCTTTCATCTATTGGTATCTCTGACAAATGTAGGATTCCTTTTTGAGTGAATTTCAGTATCTTAAAAATCTTGAAAAAGAAAATAGACCACTAATCTTCCAGACTTGGCTAATTGCATTTCAGAGTTACTTGGATATACTTCATTGTCATCTATGAAAGATTCTCTATAGGGACTCAACCTAGAACATTTCTTGTAGTGACATGACAAATCTGATGACTCTTTCTGTTCTCCTTACTTTTATTGTATTGATGGTATTCATGACACACACACACACAAAATACTTTTAATTCTTGAAATGTTTTGCTTTTCGGTAGCAAATAGTGATAAGCCTATTGGGCTAATGTGATAGAGACAAATCAGTTAATACAATTGAAATGGTTTTATTGAATGAAACTAGGAGGAAACATTATGCAGTGGCATAGCTTATTAACAATAGAATGTATTAAAATATTGTTAAGTACTAGAAGAAATTCAATGGAAATACAATGATAATAGCTTTTAATTAAGTTGCAGAATATTGGGAAAAATAAATTCAAGACTAAAATATTATGTAAGATACACACATGTATTTGAAAATAAATTCAAGACTAAAATATTATGTAAGATACACACATGTACTAATTAGAATCAAATATTTATGCACAAAACAGCAAATAAAAGTATAACAAGAAGAGAGGAAGACTTACATTGTTATCTGGAGACTGTATTAAAAGGAGATTTTTTAAAGGAGATTCAAATATACATTCAAAATTCGTCAAAGTCCTACAATAAACAAATGTTACCTGGTTTTTCAAATGTTCATTTGCTAAGATATAGCATCTAGAAAACTGATGTCAGCATCTAAATAACTCTACAAGACATACAATTGGAAGGAAGACAGGTTATGCATACTGTAAGCTCAGAAAGGACGAATCTACAGTGCTCCTTCTCAAGCAGTGTGATAACATAGAACAAGGAAAGAAGTGAGAAAATGAAATGACTCAGAAAGCCTTAAGTTACCTTACCAGAAAGAATTCTATTGGTTTCCATCTTTGTCTCATTTTATTTTGTAATACCACTTTGGCTCTGGGTTTTTTGTAGAGTGGCTCACTTTATCCAAAACAGTGGAATAGGACCAGTGCCAGCTGGTTTGTGATTATTTTAGAAAGTCAACTACATGCTCACTCAAAATAAATTTGTAGCAGAGTTTGTCTTAATCTATAAATATAAGATGATGAGCATGTCTTTTAAATCTGAAAATGATGTCTAGGAGTATTGCCACCTTCATTTCTCTTTAGCCATCTGTAACTCAAGGTCTTGAGGGACATTTAGCTAGCACTAAGTCCACTGTGTAATTTATAGAAGAGGAAACTGAGGCTGCAGGAGAGAGCATATTTGCTTGGGATCCCACAGCTGTGTATAGCAGGGTTAGATTTCAACGCTTCGAGTAAATCATTCCACCTCTGGGAATGGATCTGTAGCTGTGATTCCCCCAGCTGCTTCTGTCAGTGCCACGTTGGAAACTTTGGGTTAAGAGATAGGATAACAGAAGAAAAATTCAAACAGAAATCTCTTGAGGGCTTTGCCAAACAGGATATAATATGCTACAGGACATATGGGCTTTCTTGGGTTATTAGTGATATTTTTACACAAAGCCAAAACCTAAGTCAGAAGCAGCCTTTTTCTTCTATGACAGTTTATCTGACTTAGTACAATATTTGACTGCAACTGCAAAACTACTCTTTCTTTCCCACTGGGGTGTCTCTCTCTCCCTCTCCCTCCCCATTTCCTTTGCCCTCTATCCCTTTTTACATCTTTCCTCTCTTTTAACTCTCTCCCCCCCTCTACCTCTTATACTCTCCCTTCCTCTTTCTTTCCTCTCTTCCTTACTCCCTCTTTTGCTTTCTCTCCCTCCCTCCATATTCCAAACATACAAGTTCTCTTCTCTCTGTTTCTGTGTCTCCCTCTCCCTCTGCCTCTTTCTCTCCTTGCCTGCCTCTCAGCTCTGGGTCTGGGCCATGTTGGAAATGTACATCTTGTGAAAATTTTTCAGAAGCTGGCTGCATTCCCCTGCTAGAAATTCCTCCTATGTGGTAGCGTTTGTTTGCATGAATTCTTGAAGGGAAGAAAAGGTAATCTGCACTGAGTCAAGCAGTGTTTTGAACTGAAGGCAACTCGCTCTATTCTCCCACTAGCTGTAATTGTTTTCCTTCTTTTAATATTTTGTGTGAGGTGCTTAAAACACTTTTGTACTGCTATGAAGGGATTTTTCACTTTATGTAGATGTTCTATGAAAATAACTTGGATATGTTTAGTTTGATGAGCTATAGAATTTGATATTCGCTGTGACTTGAAATCTATAGTGTATAATTTTTGAAAAGGCTGGGGAAGGCTCAGTGGTAGAGTACTTTCCCAGTCTGTATGTGGCCCTGTATTCTATTCCCAGCACCTTAAAAAGAAGTAAAGTATTAAAATGTGAATACATAACTTTAAAAATGTTTCACAAGTACATCATCAGTTCATCAAATGGACATGCATTGAGTCACCTGAGCTGCTGAAATATGTTACATGTCCTTCTAGTCCACTCATCCTCTAAACTATGTTCTCCCCCACTGAATCTGGTCAACGTGAGCAAGGCTTCTCCTGCTTCTAGTAGGGTTGCTTCTTTTTTTTAATAATATTTCTTAAATTATTATTTTAAATCATTATTATTACAATTCTGTAAGTCAAGTTATGAGTACAGTACTCCTTAATCAGTATCACTTCTTCCATTATTCTCCTCCTTTTACCCCTCCAATCTTAATCTTTTTCTCTTTTATGCATCTTTTATTGTTATTATAAAGATGATATACAGAGGGGTTACAGTTATATAAGTCAGGTAAAGAGTATATCTCGTTTTGAACAATGTCACCCCTTCCCTTTCTCTCTCCCAGTTTTTCCCTTCCATCCCCACCCGCAAATTGTAGAGTTGATTTTCAACATAGTGTCTAGTGACCACCACTGACGTATTTGTTCACCCTTTGTTCCTCCATTTCTGCAACCCCCTTACCCTCCCAAAGACAGTTAAGTGAAAAAATGAGACAAAGGAAGAGAAAACAAAAACAGCAACAAGGAGAAAAACCTCTTGTTTCTATTTCCTGGAATTCATTTAGATAAATATCATTTTATATATTCAGATACACACAGGCATTGTGCCTTTGTGTTCCTCTCTTAGGAGTATCCTCCTTTGGTGTCACTGTGTGTGGATGCCTAGAGACCTGTATGTTTCTTCATGTCTGCTGAGGTGAAGGAACAGAAACCGAACTTACTCAGAAATTCAAATGGCTCGATTCCATCCATTCCTTTGATAAAGGAAAGGAAAAGCATCTAGGTTAGTGGCAGAACACAGAAGACCAGAAAAAAAGACTCTTGAGTCCACCAATGGGAGTAAAGAGTCACTTGATAACATTCTTACTTAACAACATCATCATTTATTCATTCAAAAATTTATTGAATATTGCAGCAGAATAGGAAATAATCCCAAATTCAGAATTATCTTTCATAAAATCATGGTAACAGAGTGCTTGCCTAGTATGTCTAAGACTCTGGGCTTTTTCTTTTCCTTATTTTTAATTTTTTAATTCAATTTGTATTGTTATTATAAAAGTAATGTACATTGCTTTTCTTTTTCAGTTACATTAGTCAGTTAATGAGTACATTTCTTTTTGGACAATGTCACCCCTTCCCTCACTCTCCTCCCAATTTTTTCCTCCCATTCCTACCCACAAGTTGTATAATTCATTTTCAACATAGTGTCTAGTAAGTACCACTACTACCTTTGTTCACCATTTGTCTCTCAATACACACACACACATACACATACACACTCACATACACGCAAACACACACACAGGCACAATCCATCTTGCTGATGATTTGTAGAAT